CAAAAAGTCGGGACATGCCTGCAGAATGTCATATTCAGGGTTTTAAATTGTTCCAAGTACATAGAAGTATCGGGAAGGGGGGGGGGGTGGCAATGTAGTCCGAATCGCTTGAAACTGTTGCATAAAAACGGGTTATTAAGTCTGAAGTAACACATACAGAGTCTGTTTTGATATAATTTTCAGAGGGGCAAGAAAAACTGATTTTAGGAGTGATATACTGTCCCCCAAACTTAGATAGGGACCAAGGAGACTACTATGGGAGGAAATTGTTAAGGCCACAAGGGACGATAATGTAGTAATTCTAGGGGACTTTAACTTTAGTCATATTGATTGGAATTTTTTGACTGGGAATTTAGAATCATACGACTCTTAGAAGTAGTTCAAGATTTTTTTTGAAGCAGTTTTTGACAGAACCTACAAGGGGGAAAAAACCTGCTTGACTTAGTTATGGCAAACAATGAATCCCTTGTTAATAATTTAGAAATTTCAGAGGAACTGGGTGCTAGCGACCAAAATCAATTACATTTAGCATTGAATGAAATACGATAGTAGCGATAACTCAGTAACAGTCCCAGATTTTCGCTTACAGATTACGATGGGCTTAGAGAACACTTATCATCTGTTGACTGGGTTTAAAGAAGTGAGCTATCAATATGACAGTTTTCTGAACACATACATGCTGCTCGAAAAACGTTTATCCCATATAAAGAAATTTGAAACAAATAGAAATGACCCAAAATGGATGAATAATAGGCTCAAATATCTACTAGGGGATAAGAAAGGGAATTTATAGGCGTATCAAAAGAGGTGAGGGTCATCTTATGAAAACAGTATATTGACATTAAGAGGGACATTAAAAAGGGATAAAAAAGCTAAAAGGGACTATGAAATTAAAGTTGCTAGGGATTCTAAACTAACCCAAAAAGTTTTTTCCAGGTCCCATAGAACAAAAGTTAGAGATAAGATAGGTCCCCTTAAAAATAACTATGGGCACCTTACTGACAAAGAGAATGAAATGTGCTCGATTTTTAATAATTAATTTCTCTCAGTTTTTTACACAGGAAGACACTAACAATATATCCAGTAATTAATTTTTATAGTGGGCTAGAAGAAGAAAATTATGTAACGTCACAGTCACTAGTGAAATGGGTTTTGAAGCAGATAGACAGACTGAAGCAAAATAAGTCGCCGGGTCCTGATGAGGTTTTTCAAGGGTTCTTAAGGAATGCAAAATGGAACTCTGTGAACCATTAACTAATATTTTTAATTTATCTCTTCAAACAGGTGTAGTGTCTGATATGTGGAAGATGGCTAATGTAATTCCTATTTTTAAAACAGGGACAAGTCGTTACCGTCAAATTACCGCCCAATAAGCCTGACCTCAATTGTAGGCAAATTACTAGATCAATTATAGCTGAGATTATAAAAGCCATGTTTGATAAAGCATAGCTTGATTAATGATACTCGCATGGATTCACAAGAGACTGATCTTGGGCTAATTTATTAACTTTCTTCAGTAAAGCTTTTGAGGCTGTTGACCACGATAAAGAATTTGATATTATTTACTTAGATTTTAGTAAGGCTTTTTATAGATTCCGCACCATAAAACTGTTAAAGAAAGTGGCAGCTCATGGCATTGGGGAAAAGTGCTCTCGTGGATCGAGTCATGGCTCACTGACAGGAAGCAGAGAGTGTCCATAAATGGGGTTAAATCCGAGTGGGGATCTGTAAAAAAGTGGCGTTCCACAGGAATCAGTCTTGGGCCCGTTGTTGTTTATAATATATAACAATGATCTTTATGAGGGAATTACTAGTGATATGAGCAAATTCGCCGATGACACAAAGATAGGTAGGATAATTGTTCAAACGTAGATGTTATGGAACTTCAGGAGGATTTAAACAAACTCTATTCTTGGTCAGAAAAGTGGCAGATGCAGTTCAATGTAGATAAATGCAATGTTCTGAAGCTTGGGAGTGCCCATAACCCTAGTACTTATAAGTTAAATGATGTAGAACTTAGCCATACAGATTGCGAAAAGGACTTGGGGGTTATGGTGAGCAGCAACCTTAAACCAAGACAGCAATGCCTAAGCGTACGTAATAAGGCAAATAGATTACTGGGATTTATATCAAGAAGTGTAAGCAACAGAAGTCCAGAGGTCATACTGCAGCTTTATACATCATTATAAGGCCTCACCTAGATTATGCAGCTCAGTTCTGGTCTCCATATTACAGAATGGACATAAATTCGTTAGAAAACATTCAGCGTAGGATGACTAAATTAATACATAGCATTAGAAATCTTCCTTATGAAGAAAGATTGAAGACTCTTAAGTTACATTCACTTGTTAGACGAAGAATGAGGGGAGACCTGATCGAAGTGTATAAGTAGAAGATAGGTATTAATAAAGGGGATATTAATAAGGTCTTGAGGATGTCTCTCCAAGAGAGAACCCGCAGTAATGGATTTAAATTAGATAAGTTTAGATTTAGAAAGGACATAGGAAAGTATTGGTTTGGAAATAGGGTAGTTGATGAGTGGAACAGTCTACCTAGCTGGTTTATTGAGGCTGGGACTTTGGGTAGTTTAAAATTTAGGTTGGATAAGTACATGAGTGGGAGGGGTTGGATTTGAGTGGGACTTTCACATCAGAGCTTATTTCTTGGGTGGCATTGAAAATTGGGTTGGGCAAATGTTTTGTTAGTGGGATGAATTGTAAAGGACCTGCCTAGTATGGGCCAACAGGCCTCCTGCAGTGTTCCTCCTTTCTTATGTTCTTATGCCCTTTACAATCCTTCCCACTAACAAAATATTTGCCCAACCCCAAAAAAACATTTGCCCAACCCAACAAAATATTTGCCCAACCCAAAAAAACATTTGCCCAACCCAAAAAATATTTGCCCAACCCAAAATATATCAACAGTCTGCAGAGAAAAATAAATCAACGTTCTGCCTGTGTTAGATTACTAGTTATTAAATTATCTTCCTGTCATATCTCTTAACCTGCTGGTCATGCTTAATAGTTTCTCGCAGACGGTGATTACAGCTGTGATAGTGCTCGACAGCAGGTGAGATGGTACACAACAGCAGGTGAGATGGTACCTCACAGAAGAGGTGTGATGGTGCACAACAGCAGGTGAGATGGTACCTCACAGAAGAGGTGTGATGGTGCACAACAGCAGGTGAGATGGTACCTCACAGAAGAGGTGTGATGGTGCACAACAGCAGGTGAGATGGTACCTCACAGAAGAGGTGTGATGGTGCACAACAGCAGGTGAGATGGTGCCTCACAGAAGAGGTGTGATGGTGAACATCAGCAGGTGTGATGGTGCTCACAGATGTAGTACGTTCAGAAGCTCAGCAGAGTGGAGAGCAGGATAATGAGAGTAGAGTAGGATAATGAGAGTAGAGCAAGATAATGAGAGGAAGAGCTAATCCTAACTCCTCTAGACGAATGAATAGCAAAGGAAAACATATATTACGGATGGTCTACTATACCGACCAGTTGATAAATAAGACACATGTGCAACACTTGGGTATGTTTATTGCCGAAACGTATCGCATGCGCAGCAGACCTCTCGAGTCAAATACAGGTGACTATAACACTGGAGGTGGCCCAGTCCCTTAGTATGAAGCAGAGGCTGAGGGACTGACCACCTCAACACATCTACAGTCTCCACTGTTACATTTCCAGTATTCGACTAAAGAATCCAAATGCTCAGGTGACAATTTTCGGCAATAAAGATACCGAAGTGTTGTACACGTTACTTATTCATCCAAAGATAACTTGATCACGATATACAAGATACTAAGATTTGATAGGATCACACATATTTAGTGTCAACAGTTACACAGGTGGGTAGTACAGTGCTTGTGCTCTGAAGGAAGGGGGGAGAATGTTGCAGTTTTTGAACTGTAGTATCGGCACGACTCTGGCAAGACAGTGATGTAGTGAGTGATGATGAAAGTGTTTCTTCTTTTTCGGGTCACCCTGCCTCGGTGGGAAGCGGTCAATGTGTTAAAAAAAAAGAGTTACACTACCGCCTTAAACCCTGGTCGAGATCCTCAGAGGAAGAATTAGAAATTGTAAGAACACAAAAGTTTTATTTAATGAACATGTTTAAAGGAACAAACAATATACACAAATTAAGATATCATACTGGAAGCTGCGGTGACAGGGAAGACTGGAGATGATGAAGATAGTGAGCCTTCAGTTATGCTGGTCAGGGGTAGAGGAAGATGAGGTGCACACAGATGAAAAGGAGGAGCCCAAGGAGGAAGAGGACATGAACGCGAAGGAAGAGATGTCCACGCATGAAGATGAGATGCCAACTGAGGAAGAGGAAGCATTTGCTGAGGAAGAGAAAGTGAGCACGGAGGAAGAGATGCCCACAAAGAAAGAGGTGGTGACCATGGAAAAAAAAAGTTGCTCACGGAGGAAGAACAGTTACCCACCAAGAATGAATAGATGCCCAAAGATGCCCAGGATTACCAACATCAGTGGATCCTCTCAAAGGATAAATATTTGTTCAGGTATTGATCTTGGTCAAGAGTATTAAGTTACTCAGCTTTATTCCCCTTTCAGGCTTCCACCTTTCCAGTCCTAACCTTCCAGTCTTCTCGTGTAGTTTTACCTGAGGGAGGACAGAAGTATCCACCAGACACCTTGCTTGTCTCATGCGTGTTAAAATAGCCAAGGAATAATTTGGAGAAAAAGCGTGATTCAGAGGGCCGGATATGGAACGCCAGAAAGCTAAACCATGTTCGACTTCAATGCATTATTTAAATAATTTATTACGTTAGCGTAATTGTGAAATAATTATCTACAATACAGGGTCGTATGGTAGATGTGTTGCAGTGTAGTGTGTAGAGACCAGGAGGTCGTCACTGATCATGGTTGATATACTGTACAGATTTCAACGTAACAGTTAAAAGCGACAGCTAGCAGAAAACTTATGTGCAGAGAGCTTGATAGCGGGTTGGATAGGGAAGTGTTGAGATGGCCATCGTTTAGTTGTATCCTGGTTTAGTAGGAGTACCGTACGTGGGTCTGGGACCGGCACCTTCTTGCTGACGGGCAAACTCGATCTGGGCGACGGCGTGGGCTGGGAGAGGATGGGGCGTGGGCAGCAAGGGAGACTCCGGGCGGTAGCCTTCATTATCAGCCACGAATTTTAACTCCCCAAGAGTACCGTCGGGAAAGGTGAACCTGGAAAATACCTTAGTCGTCAGGACCTTCTGTATCAGTAGTGACAGATGGGTATCAGAACAGTTACCCATTCAGTGAATACTGGTTTGACTGTTGTTTGCCCTTCAATCATATTGGTTTGACTGTTGTCAGATATGCTAAAGTAGAACACACTCTCCTAACTCAACAGTTGGCGTTATTAATGCAAACACGGACACTCACGACCATCCTCCCTGCGCTGCCACGGCACCAGCTGGGCCCTGGGGGGCGCCCTGCTCCTGACGATTGATGCCGTCACCTGTTTCGAAGTTGAAGTTATAGTTGCCGGCCTGGTCAGGTCCCTGACGTTCATCCTTCAGGATGGGAACTACAGGACCTGAAGTGGTGCCGTAAGACGGGGGAGGCGACGACCCGTACCCTTGGGGTACCCCAGCCACTACGCTCATTATGGCACACAGGACCAACGTCTGAAAATTCACATGTAAACCACCGTGATAGAAATATAAAAGAATTCGTTACACAAAAATAGAACCACTCACATTGTTATTCTTTACGTGGCGACCCTCCAACCATAGCCCTTAACTACCACACCACACAGCAGTGCTCTCTATAACTGTATTCATCCTGCCACCAATTCCAAGATATAATCACAGGCGTCACGACGGTCGAGCAACAGAAAAGTTATATCCACTTATGAGTAACATTGTATTAAAAGGAGTAGACTGAGTAAGAGTTTGAAGGATGTCTGATGCTGCCACCTTGAAGAATGAATATAGTATATAGTGGCCCGGTGGCCTGGTGGCTAAAGCTCCCGCTTCACACACGGAGGGCCCGGGTTTGATTCCCGGCGGGTGGAAACATTTCGACGTTTCCTTACACTATTGTCCTGTTCACCTAGCAGAAAATAGGTACCTGGGTGTTACTCGACTGGTGTGGGTCGCATCCTGGGGGACAAGATTAAGGACCCCAATGGAAATAAGTTAGACAGTCCTCGATGACGCACTGACTTTCTTGGGTTATCCTGGGTGGCTAACCCTCCGGGGTTAAAAATCCGAACGAAATCTTATCTTATCTTACAGTAATATTTATTACTGCACACGTATCTTGTGTTGATAATGAAAAGAGGAAAGATGAAGATGATGATAAAAGGAGGAGGAGGAGGCAGAAGAAGAAGAGGAAGATAAAGATGATGAGTTTCATATAACTACAAACCAGAGAGGATTATTAACTCAAAGTAATCTACAAAACTTAAGTAATGTGACACATTTCCTGAAGGAGGTGATGACCCACAACCGATGACTAACAAATGGCTACCCATTTAACACACAGTGAACATAGGCAGCAAAGGCGAGTTCTCCAAACTTCGTGGCTCACCCTGGGATCAGTCTCGTTTCGTTCTTGTCTCATCCTGGAATCTTGTGTTTATCTGATGGCACGCCGAACGAAACAAGTGAGCAACGACTTTATTACTGGTGTAGAAGTGATTCATGTAACTCTAATTTATCTTTAAGAATAAAGTATAAATGATGGGAACATCAAAGAGAATGTAAATGTTTATTACGTATTAATAATATTCACAGTGAATGCTGCGTCTCATATGAACAGTTAACGTAATTTGCATAATGTGGTCAGTGCTTGTCGTGTTAGCGGTGATGGTGGTTTTGGTGGTAATGGAGGAGGTGGTGGTGGCGTTGGTGGTGGTTTTCTTGTTGTTAGTGGTGGTGGTTTTCTTGTTGTTGTTGTTGATAGTGGTGGTGCTTTTGTTGTTCTTATTGGCGGTGGTGGTGGTGGTGTTGTTGTTGTTGTTGGTGTTGTCGTTGGTGTTTTGTTGGTGTTGTCGTTGGTGTTGCTGTTGGTGTTGTCGTTGGTATTGCTGTTGCTGGTCTTGGTGGTGGTGGTGGTGGTTTTGTTGGTGGTGGTGGTTTTGTTGGTGGTGGTGGTGGTGGTGGTTTTGTTGGTGGCGGTGGTGATTTTGTTGTTGGTGGTGGTGATTTTGTTGGTGGTGGTGGTGGTTTTGTTATTGTTAGTGGTGGGTTTGTGTTGGTGGTGGTGGCGGTTATTATTACTGGTGGTGGAGGTGGTGGTAATATTGATGGTATTTCCCCCCCCCCCACAAGGGTAAGTATTTCCTGGTGCTGGTTTCATCGCTCGGTCGTGACTTCGATCCCCCTTAAAACAAGTAAAATATAATAGCCATAATAAAAAATTTCAGCTTACTAAATACACAAACACATCCCCACTTATATGTATACAGGACACTTAGAACTTGGACTCACGGCTCCGACTCTTCCTGGAGAGCTGCAACACAACACAGACACAATACTCTGTGTTAGATTCAATCTATATAGAAACTCCATGCAAATAAAAGTATCTAAAACTTGGAACTCCCTTCCAGAAGATGTATAAACTTTCCCTTCAACCACCTGTTCCACAAATATATTTAAAAAAATCACCCGAATCTGACTGAAACACTTCATAGATAGATTATGTTTAGGCATTATATGACTAAGACCATGAGGAGGCCTTACCGAGAATCTTGGTACCTGTGGAACCTGAGGAAGTCTTACCGAGAACATGCTGCAGTGATGTCAGTTATGGACTGTACTGCTGGCTTGAGCTACACCCATTATATATCTGCTGGTTCCTCTTTCATTTTCCCAAGTATCATTACAGACCTCGGCCTCTTTACCATCTTGCTTTGTGCCGGCCGTGTGGTTGCCTCAGAAGGCTGATGCAACTCAACCACATCCTTCTCAGTGCCAGACTTTATGAAGAAACCACCGGTTGTGTGAAGGAGATTGAAATGTAAAAGAAAAAGTTGATATTCGTACGAATATATTATTTTTGAAAGAGAGATAGACTAAAATATGATATATCTGAATTGTATTAGCCTTTCTGAACATCTTGGAATAAGCTGAGGAAGCAGTGATGTGCAGCAGGAAAAATCCCAGAGACAGAAACAGCTCATGGCCAAAATAACGTACATGTAAATATGTGGGAAACTTTGTTTCGAACTGCTATGCATGTGTTCTGAAAACACCCATAGGCTGTCCTGAAACTAGATTTCATGTATTAAAAAACAAATGAAGTCTATCATGAAACAGTCACATAATCTGTCGAGAAATCATTCTCAATACACTCCTTACAACACCTTGTATTTTGAAACTCAAATCCTTAGTGATAATATCATGCTCAGTCTGCCCATTAAGTTCCCTCAATTTGTGATGAGACTGCAGTACATCTGTCTTAATTCACTATTAGTTTGTCTTGAAGCTTCCATTCATCTATCATGAAGTGAACCTGAATTTTTAATTAAAACATCCAGTGCACTTTGTTGGATGTAAATTGATATGCAACACGAATTTCGAGTAGTAAAGAGCATAGTGTAAAGGCACCATGAAAAATTATTACGAGAGAGAAAATATGAGAGAATGATAAAATGCAAGCAAACGAAGCTCACCTACAGAATCCTTCACCTTCACAGGTATGCTAACCAACTCGTTAAATACTTGTTAACCACGGTGAAAGTGTCGTGGCTAACTCAGGACTAATTACCCAGACTTTGCGGGCGTTCTAATGACAATCCTCTACTGTCTACTTTCTAAAAAAATGCATTATTTTACTTTGCATATATGCTGCTACATTGTTTCTTCTGTTCCAGAGAGCAAGAGTATTTGATGGTAAACACAAGTCGAGGGTAAATGTACCCCAGTGAATCAAAGCGCAAATAATAACTCGATTGTTTCTTCAACTTTATGAATTCATGAGAAATTAGAACGGAAATGTATATATTTATTACTAGTAACATTTACACTTGTAAAAGTTTAACTAAGGTGTTTCTGTTGTTCTTCGTGACCCACAACATCGATCTAAGAGGGTGATGGAAGTGACGCTCATCTCACATCCCTCCTCTGGGGGTTGAAAGATGAATAAAGTCATATCTTCTTTGTAACTTGCTTGATTTCCGTGATGAAAACTTCCATGGATATGGAGTCAAAATGAAAAAGGACTGAATATTATGTATAACAATTTTTGGTGTAGGGCGGCCATCCTGAGATACACCTCATTTTCCCCATTTTTGGTTTTCAGTAATTGACCGCTTATCTATGGTTATAAATGAAGTTGTATAAAAAAAATGCTGAAACAAGTTTTTATTCCGCCCTTGGTTATGGTCCCACGTGACGTTTCACTGATATCTCCCTTCCAGATTAAAAAGGGTGGTAAGGGGGGCGTCCAAGGAACAATGGAAGTCTCCGGGCTAAAATGTTTCTTTGGATGATTATCTTATCCATGTTCTTTTATTTGATTGTTGCCTTTTGGGTACTTCAAATGTCTTGTTTAGATCCCATTTCTGCGATGGATTGGTCCCGTTGCATCAGTTTGCAAGAAACTTTCGAGCCGAAGCTGAGGTGTCCAGCTCTCAGCAAGAGCCAAAAGGATAAGAATCGAAGCATATGCTTTACTTATTGATGCCCTGTAGACCTACCATGCTGCTAGAAGCAGCAGGTTGCCAATTAAATTTCAAGACACTGAGTGCTGGCCCCTCAGGGAAGGTTCCTTGATGTTGGTGAGGGGCTCTTGATTTAGGGAATTGGATCTGTGCTCCAGTTCCCCGAATTAAGCCTGAATGCCTTCCATATCCCCCCAGGCGCTGTATAATCCTACGGGTTTAACGCTTCCCCTTGACTATAATAATAATTTGAGTGCTGAGAAACTATTAGAAAGAGGCGAGATAATGGCACCATATTAATGATATTGTGAGTGAAAACAGAAGATAGATCGGACCACAATCAAATCTTAAGGTATAAGTATAACCCAGTACATATACTTTATTCACAGGTAAGCAGATACCGCAGCGAAGTCTTCACCGGCACGTTTCACCCACAAATGGTTGCATCGAATATGTCTATATATATAGAGTATCGGGGGGGGGGGGGGGTTAGGTGTGAACAAGATCACACAGAAAACACTTTCCTAAACATCATATTCTCTCTCCACATGATCACTTAGTGGAAACGTTAAGCACGATGCACACGAGCGGCAGGAACAGGAACACTGAAGGAACACGGATTATTATTATTATTATAATCAAGGGGAAGCGCTAAACCCGTAGGATTATACAGCGCCGGGGGAGGGGGAATGTGGAAGGCATTCAGGCTTAATTCGGGGAAGTGGAGCACAGATCCAATTCTCTAAATCAAGAGCTCCTCACCAACATCAAGGAACCTTCCCTGAGGGGCGAAGGAACACTGAGCATTCATAGGAGAGTACAAGCACTGGTTATACCCTGTCCTGTAAGCTCTAACTTATAGTTGGTCATCCCAGCTATATTATTATTATAATCAAGGGGGAAGCACTAAACCCGGAGGTTTATACAGCGCCTGGGGGGGGGGATGTGGAAGGCATTCAGGCTTAATTCGGGGAACTGGAGCACAGATACAATTCCCTAAATCAAGAGCCCCTCACCAACATCAAGGAACCTTCCTTGAGGGGATCTCAGCTATAACCTTCGCTGCCATGATGTGGACACTTCCCCACATCATCAATGGACTGATAATTAATATGAGGATTGTCAATCCTCTAGTGTATTAAAAACACCTCAGTACTCAGTGAGCAGGAATAATATCCGTAGAAATATGAAAGATCATTTCAATAGCATCCACTGGAGATCAGTTCATACATAATTTAATGTTCTATTATACAATAAATATAGAATAACAATGCTAAATTAGAGGTTAAAGATTTATAGATTAAAACGGTTAAGACAGGAACATAAACACTTCACTAGGTGTACCTTATATCCAGGCGATGTCCGGCTTAGGTAAGACTCCTAGGTTCCCCTCTCACTTACACAAACCCTAGCAAGGTCTTGCAGCTTCAGTACAATATAATGGAAACGAGTTTGGTACTTCCCTGGGAGAATAAAATATACTTTTCTGTAGTTCCAAATACTGAATCCCAGTGGTTGTGGTGGAAAATATTGTGAAACTCCAGTACCAGTCTTTTCAGCTTTCCTTCGGGTCCTGATATTTATCCACATAACATTTAAACACTAAACAATGCGGGAAGCGTTGTCGGGACAATTAAAATCCCAATGAAGAATCAGAATAGACACGAGAGTTAAAAAATATCTCAACCCGCCACGTTCCCTCCTCGAGTGTATGAAACTGTGTCCCAAGCCTTGCTCAAGGCTTTGATTAATTTAATTTAATTACAAAACTTTCAGCTCCTAAGTGATCTATCTAATTTCCATTAAGAAAATAATATTTAAACCAAATAGAACATATCTACTAGTAAATTTATTAGCAATGAGAGCACAATGGGAGATAAATTGATGATAAAGCAGAATGAATGGATTCGGACAATATTTACATTATCCTAGTCTTAACAAGATATTTTATACAATTAATGATATAAATATGGTCTTAAACCAAATAAAAATAATTATCTTAATTAAAATACTGAAGGTTACTCTAAATAAGCGTAATTTAATAATTATTAATGATAACGTGAAAAATGTTAAAACATGTTGCTACCTCCACCACAGCTTGTTGGTGAGAGGCTCTTGATTTAGGGAATTGGATCTGTGCTCCAATTCCCTGAATTAAGCCTGAATGCCTTCCACATCCCCCCCCCAGGCGCTGAATAATCCTCCGGGTTTAGCGCTTCCCCCTTGATTATAATAACAATAATCCACCACAGCTAATGTTGGATTTACTAAGTAAATCCAATATTAAGATCGTTGTGGTGACCACCAACACCCCGAGACATTATCTCGACGTTCTACACAAGATAAACTGATGTAGGAGTCTACAGCATCCTGTGTAGTGGTTGTAAACAAGTTTACATGGGTGAAATTACTCAGAATTTACTCGTAGCTTACTGGAATACATAAAAATACCTGTAGATAGCAACAATGCTTGTTTGTGCACATTGTGTACCTGACCAACCGGTCTGTGGTTCATACGTTGGTTTGCCTGCGGCCAGCAGTAAGAGCCTGGTTGAGCAGATTCTGATCCACAGCGAGGCTGGTCATGGACCAGGCCATGGGGGTGCTGACCCCCCGAACTCCCTTCAGCTCGACACATTCCAACATCATGATGTGAGGCAGAGCCAGGCTACTGTTTCAAGAAAACTGCAGTTTACGTAGGTATTCCGAGTCATCTGATATCAGTCTAACTACCAGCACAAAACAAAAATGTGGTTGTTTTTTGGTTAATGGGGTTTAAAGCCTATCGACTATATTTGGTATCTATTCCAAAAACGTTTCGCCCCCAAAATAAGCTTCTTCAAATACACTGCGCGATCAGAGGGTATGTTAGTATAGCAAAATCTTCGTCCTCTGTGCCTCAATGCACGCCACTGGAATATCAAATGATTATAATCATTACTATAATTTTTAAAGTGGTGGACGGGTAAGCCAGTGGAAAGTCTCACTCAAATAACCAAAAGCTCCACGTGCGGGTCATCACATAACTAAGACCCGCGTCAGGAAATACTTGACCTGTTTCCTGATAAACCTTACGTAATCTAACCCGCCTCATGGTGAGAGAAAATTCCACGACGCTCTAATCCACGGAACCATACAATCCTACAAGAATCACGCGCCCAGCAGAGATAAGTGTTGTACCGTGATCCGAGGGCATACGATGGTGTGGGTGCTTCAGAGCTAATTTCATTCTCTTCCCCGTTTGGTGTACTAGCTTCCACGAGCTCACCATGACATGAGGCGGGCTAAAACAACACTGGTTCGAATCCTCGGCTAGTCGCAGTGTTGTTATGGATTAAAAACTGCTTGCTCGTGGTTACAATGATATATATATTTTATATATATATATATATATATATATATATATATATATATATATATATATATATATATATATATATATATATATATATATATATATATATATATATATATATATATATATACTGCTCATGGAGGCTAGTACACCAAACGGGGAGGAGAATGAAATTAGCTGTAAAGCACCCAGACCATCGTATGCCTCGGATCAGGTACAACCTATCTTGCTGGTACAGATCTGTAGGATTATGTCCGTGAGGTTAGAGGTTCGTGGATTTTTGCTAAATGAGGCCGGGCTTAAAACAACATGGGTTCATCTTCGGCTAGTCGCAGGTGTTTTAAAATATAATGTTGATATATGTATCATATTTATATATATATATATATATATATATATATATATATATATATATATATATATATATATATATATATATATATTATATATATATATATATATATATATATATTATTGTGGCCACGAACGAGTGGTATTGATCAATAATATCATAAATACATGGTTGTACGCATGTATGCAAGTCCACATGGACATGTGTGAAAATATTTATCTGCATATGTATATTTGAACATGAAAAAACAATAAGCTAAATTTGAGACGATTCAGACACTGTAATAAGATAAGGTAATCTGAGTTAGATGACCATTACAACAGAGTTGTGTAATTTATAAACAAGTGTTGTAAATGTTTGCTTTTGGGAAGTTATTTACCCGTTTATATTAGGGAAACCAATAGACTCTTCTTAATGAAAATCACAAAGGTTATTGTCCTGTGAAAGGATACACAGCGAATCATAACACTGTGAAAAATCTAAATTGTATATTCTGGCTGATCTTAAAAAATTTGTTGGATGTTATGGAAAAATAATATTTCCTAAACTCCTAATGTAATTGCGTTAAAAAATTACACGGTATAGGCTTAAAATGTTTTAAAGGCCTATGTGGGAAATTATATTTACCTGGATGAATCTCATTAGATACATACAAGTAAATGGTAACGAAGATAATTATTATTTATCAAAGTTACAGAGACAAGTAGGAATTTTTAGGACACCTAGGTCGCAAAAAAATGTCCCCCTTCGATACCTACCATCTATCTCTCCACAAGTTGCTCTAAACCTATATTAATTGCAAATGAAATGTACATCACCAGGAACTCTGGTAAAATTTAATATAAATTTGTGGACTGTATATTAACATTAATAAATGATTACATATACACATTTATATAAGAGAAGGGGAATTTATAATCATAACACTCACCAATTAGTCTGGAGATTACTGTGTGTCATGTACAGAACCCCCCTCTACCCAAATTTATGATGATAATACTGGCCAGAATTACAAACATAATTTAGCTAGCTTATCTGAGGTTCCTGGAGCTGTCTTGTACATCTGTTTAATGCTCAAGTTATGCAGGAATGCACATCCAACAATTTCGGCTCCTATTTGAAAGGTTTTAAGCCCAATATAACCCCTAGAGCGACGAAAATTAAGCACATTACATTAGAGTGCCTGTAACACATTAAAAAAACAATGGAGACTCCCTCCTGCTCGTCAGCGCAGGCGCAGAGCCTCCCTGTCGGCTCCATTCTTTAAAATATACTTTTAATCAGGTTTACTTACACAGCATAATTTTGGGAAATTATTTTCCACAGCCTAATTCCTTTTTTATAGTTGATAGCCTAATTTCTTAGTATTGCAGACCAACTCAAAGGAGAATTAGATGTTACAAAGCCTATTTGAATTAAATTTTCCTCCATGTAACACACACTTATGTTGAAAATCTGAAGCCAACCAAAAGAGGTATTCTTCTGCTATGGTATAGAATCCAACAATTCTAAATTTTTTAACAGTTACACGTGATTTTGTTTATTCTGTGACCTCGGATCAGGCAGATATTTTCTGGTGTCTGAGTGAAGCCGTCATCACAACAACACTAGGCAAGCTTCAGTTGGTCAGTCTTTCTCATTTAACATATTGTTGATGTTCCATCACAGTGACTTTAATGGTTCATGCAAATTTTACAAGTCTCAGCTCTTAAGTCCAGCATCTCCCAAAGTAAAAACAGAAGTTTGTCTTCTTGCTTTAATGTTTTTGTTCGTGTTTTGCTTGCTACTGCGCCTCAGAAACAGGCATTACGCGAGAACTCTCACCGTGAAATTGTAGATGGACTACAGTGAAGGAGCTTCTGCTCAAACCTGCTCAGCCAGATCAACAGACTGCGAAGCGAGCACTCATGAAGGAGCCAGTAAGTCATGCAACACAGACAACCGGTACTCTGGAGTCTAGAGTAAAGGTTGTCGGTGTTGCATGACAGGCATCGTGTGTCTAGACACACGATGCCTAATCTCAGAGGAAAGTTCCTCCATGACGTTACTTGTTTTGGATGCAGCCGCAATAGACAAGTCCGAGTAAAATAAACCCAGGTCTAGCACATATTGCCTCGATGATTCTCAATGATGCTCCTCTGATGCAAGTTACTGGGAGACCTCAGGCCGTACCACTGGTTAGTGCAATACTCTGAGGTGTATGAATCATTATTTCTCGCTAGGATGTTAACCTACGGACGCTCGGTCTGACAACTGCTGTTATGGTAAAGCCGAGGAAGGGACAAGCTGGTCTTCGAACTTTGACAGGTGTATTGACATGAGTCAGTACCCGAGAGTAATCCTGTATCAAGTTCCCAGAAAGTAACGAGGGAATCAAGTCCAAGTCTGAGATACTACTAACGGGACTGTGAAGGAAGACACCTTGGATAACATGAAATTTGACAACGAGCAAGCAGAGGCTGAACTAGAGCTGGGCTCCCCATAGTGGTCAATATCATCCCCTAAGGGTCGATGGGACTATCGAAGGGGCCATTAAATGGCTGGGGTCAAAAGGGAGTCAGTAAATGTCTGGGGGCGTGCTTTGTGTTTGTATCTGTGACCTAACATCCTCTAACATCCTCCTCCTTGTCTCTCTCATCTCTCCATCGCCCTTGTTGACACTCATCAGATGCATCCTTTCCACTGATGTTATCAACAGTTTCAGTAAAAAAAGGGTATGTTAAATCTTATATTTTTCATAATATAAATATTACCCAATTTTATGGAGCCATAAATATTATTATCTTTTATTATTATTGTTCACAGTACTATCAGTTAAAGTACTATCATATAATAAATGTTTGGGGTTGATAAACAATCTGAAATTTCATGAAGGGGTCGATAAGCTGAAGAGTCTGGAGACCCCTGACCTAGAGGACCAAGCACTGAGACTCCGTATTAATGATGGCAGACGCTCATGACAGTCCTACTACTTCGTCTTCTGATG